CTATATTTGTATGTATATGTATATATAGATGTATATATATGTATTATATCTTACATAGAAGAAATGCAATTTAAACGCTTACTGTCCAGGAACCAATCTATTGATATCCAACCTATATTTTCCCAGAAATCTGCGTATACCATCTGTGCGCATACGAATAGCTGCAAACGGTTGCACATTTACGTTCACATTGTCTGCGAATGGGTCTGTATATATATATGTCAGTTCATTCGACTATAAAAGCTAATGAATGTCACCAGATGTACTATTTGGTGGTGGTGTGATGATCCTGTTCTATCACTACCACTTTATATCAATGGTTGCTATGATTTTTATATCAATGATTCCTATGCTTTTTATATCACTGGTTGTTATGCTTCACTTACTACTGTCGCACAGGTATCTTGGCCCAGCGGAGACTGGCTCGTGGAGTACGACTGAATCTGCCAGAGGCCACAGCACTCATCGCACATGTGGTATGTAGTACAACACACACTCAGTGCTAGTAGCACACCTGTGATGACTTTAGCAATGGCTCATGTGGTAGGTAGTACTACACACACTCAGTGCTAGTAGCACAACTGTGATCATTGTATCAATGACACGGGGCAAGCGCTAGTGCGCATATAGCACATAAAGCGTTTAGAGCAATGCAGACGCACTTCTCTCTACACCTCTCACGTGGGCTACTACACTAAACACATGTGACTCAGACAGACGCACTGCACCAATGACAGGTCATTTGTATGTGCGTAAAGGTACGATTACATCATCCACCAGAGCTGTGATTGCTGGTCACTTGTAGTGCTGCTTTAACCGTTGCTGTGTTGGGGTGTGTGTACAGGCAGGCGAAATGGCCCGCGACGGGCGCCGGGTGGCTGACATTATGGGCCTGGGCAAGCAACTGCTGGGGCATCGGCAGGTGATGGCTGGTGTAGGCGAAGTGCTGCACTCAGTGCAGGTGGAGGCTACCTTCCCTGACGGCACTAAGCTCGTCACCATCCACGACCCCGTGTGCCAGGTGAGGGTTTAGGGTTTCTGTGCGGGTGGGCGGGTGGGCGTGTGGGTGGGCGTGGGTGTGAGTGTGATTTGGATAGTTCTGTGTGTGGAAATATATATGCTATGTTTGAATATAGACGTTTCCATTCGTTAACCTCTCTCTCGCTGTTTGTTGCAGGAGACCGTTGATTGCACTATGGCGTTGTACGACTCTTTCCTTCCAGTTCCTCCGGCGAGCAAATTCCTCCCCTTAGTGGTATGTCCTGTTTTTACCCTAAACCCTAAACCCTTGCGGGTTTCGTGTGGACTCATTAAGTGCAAACACAGAGGGCTCTGTCTCTCTTTTCGCTGTGTGGAAAGTACAAGTCAGTACTTTACAGCCACCCAGAACCCTAAACAAAAACAATAGATCGATATGTGGGTCGCTGTGGATGCGAATGGGATACCTGAGTCATGTGATAGTGTGTTGAGTGTGTAGTGTTTATTTAGGATAGTGTGTCAAGTGTGTAGTGTTTAGTGTTTATTTAGGATAGTGTGTTGAGTGTGTAGTGTTTATTTAGGATAGTGTGTCAAGTGTGTAGTGTTTAATGTATATTTAGGATAGTGTGTTGAGTGTGTAGTGTTTATTTAGGATAGTGTGTTGAGTATGTAGTGTTTGGTGTTTATTTAGTGTTTACCGTTCGATGAGTGTGCGATTGTGGGCAGTCGGGTGAGCAGACACATTTGTTGTGCTGTGATGACGCAATGGCATGGATATGCCAATTCCGGAAACCACCGATTTACCCTATACCATAAAGCCCTATAGCCCCATAGCCCTACAACCCTACAACCCTATAGCCCCGTAACCCTATAGCCCCTTAGCCCTACAACCCTACAACCCTTCATCCCTATAGCCCTATAGCCCTACAATCCTATAGCCCTACAATCCTATAGCCCTACAACCCTACAATCCTATAGCCCCGTAACCCTATAGCCCTATAGCCCTATAACCCTACAA